ATATATATATATATATATAACGTATATATACATATATGTATGTATGCATGTGCACACCCAGAATTGAACTTATATTGAAGTCGCCACACATATACCTTAGAGTGGCCTTTTTGGGTCGATTATCAAAAACCGAAAGTTTTCGCACGAAAAAACATGAGGTTGGCAAGGAAAATAAATATGAAATTTGTTTTTTCGGGATCCGGAAATTCCGAGTGGTTCCGAGTTGATCATTTTGATTTTGAATAGGAAATAAATTATTATTTTAAATTTTCAGCTTTTACGTCCATGAAACCCAATTTTTTATTTCTGAACTGTTTTTTATTGAAAACTGAATACATTTACCTTTTTAAAGTGCTCAAAAGTCTGACGTTGATTGAAAAACCATGGTACACGATAATATTAAAGCTGAGAAAAATATGAAATCATCATTTATATCATTTGAGATCTAATAATAATAATATTTAATATCATTTTAAATAAAGTATAATGTAGAATTTTTCTTATATATACTTAAAAAAAAGAAATGCAAAAAAAAGAAATTGTTGTAATTTCGGCCTTTTTGGTCGAAAAAGCTCAACCCGGTACCTCTAGGAATCACCTGAAGGCTTTTAAACTAATTACGTATTTATTTATATCCCCAACCTCAAATTATTCTGTGCGAAAACTTTTGGATTCATGAATTTAAAATTTTTCATTCAAAAAGGCCACTCTAGTATACACACATACACACATATAACCTAAATATACACTCTAAGTTTTAAGCGATAGTGTTCAGAAACGGATTCTGATTNTTTTTTTTCTGCTGAATTTTAATTACGTTGAATTAGTTTTTAGGGTTAAATATTTAGCGACGCTAGCAGCCTTGTCAAAGCCATCCGTGGGGTTGATATTTTAATTAATTTGAGTGAATGGGCGAGCGTGAGGAAGAGGAGATAGTGCCAGGTGGATTAGGGCTCTTGAATTCAGACCGGATAGTAACAAGAAGTGTATCGAGGGCACTAGAGAACCAAATCGCAGGCTCTCCGTTCATACAAATCGACACAGGTATCTCGTACTACTTAAATAGGTGCACGTCCAGAGTGTTTGGAATATTAGGTAGTGGGGAAAATCGCTCTGTTATTCAGATAACCGAGAAAGTGACCACAAGTTCAGCAAATAACAGCTTTAGTTTTTCGCGCGAGCTGGAAGAAATCCTTGAAATGTCGGAGCAAGACCAAGGGAATGTGCCACTTAGTGACTCTGCGGCCGGAAGCTCAAAATCCGCAGGTGGGGGACCCAGTTCATCCGCAATAAGTGTTGAGAAGCTGAGCCGAATGAAGGCGATGATGGCGCAACAAAATGACATGCTTCATACGCACGCCGTTCAATTTCGGTTGATCTCATACAAGTAGCATGTGCATGAGAAATTTTTGACAATAAATTGGCGGCGTGCGTGAATATTAGGTTAGCCTGTAACCCATCACCAGGTATTTACCGACTTTCATTATCTGGTTACCGGTAACGCCTTGAAGTGGTATTGGCAGGTCCTGGAGGATCATGCAGATGATGAAAGCATCGGCTACTCTGAGCTTAGATCGGAACTGCTGAACCACTTCAAGACGGCGGAATCAGACTACGAAATCATAACAGAAATTATGGAAAGAAAGCAACAGGCGTTCGAATCTTTTGATGATTTTTATGGTGATGTCCATAACCTAACTTTCCGCCCCGCAAGAAAATTCCGGAGAAAGAGTTAGTTGGCATTATTAGGGGCAACCGTAAGCCGAATTTAGCCAATATACCTTTTGCTTCCGATGGAATCTCTATCCGACCTCAAGAGTGAGTGTAGAAGGGCCGAAAAGGTGATGAAGGAAAATAGAAACAGGGCTAAGCATGTAAATGAGATAGACTTTCCAGATCCTCCTATAGTACTCAAGGGCGAGGATAGTATAGTGGAAGAATAGGCAGAGAGACAAGCTAATAGGAAAACTTTACATCAAAGGAAGATGAAACAGCACTTAAGAGAATATTTTGCGAGGAAGTTAAAGAAAAGAGGAAAAAATAGGAATTTTATGAAAATACAGAAGATGAGGGCAAAGAAGAAGAATCTTAAAAGGATACGTAATAAGATTATTTCAACCATAGTCACTTTAAAATTTGATAATAGGTTTTTCGCGAAAACTAAAATAGGGGGGTTTGAAGTATTAGCACTGTTAGACTCTGGAGCAGGAGCGAGTTGTTTAGGGAAAAACGCGAGCACCTTAATAAAAGACCAGGAAGACCTAATAATGCCAATTAAGGGTCAGAGCATTAGGACGGCAAACGGTGGGGAAACGTCGGTAACTGTCGCCAAGCGTGACTTGTCCTTCGATGCAGTGCAGCACACACTGACCTCGGAGCAATGCCTACCTTTAGAGCGCGTAAAAGCCCAGTTCCCGAGGTTTGCGGTTTTAGGAGTAGGAAAGCCAGACGTAGAAGAATATGTCATCGAAGTGACAAATGAAAGTTTACCGGTGAAACAAAGATTTTACCCCATATCTCCAGCGATTCAAAAACTGATCTACGGTGAGCTCGACCGAATGTTGGAGATGGGGGTAATTGAAGAGAGCAATAATAGTTGGAGCTGGCCTGTATCGCTGGTTGTAAAGGGGACGAAAAATCGCTTGTGTCTCGATGCGAGAAAAGTAAATGATAAGTAGATTACAAAATACTCGTTACATTTCCGCTATAGATCTAAAAGACGCGTTCTGGCGAATTTGAGAGAAAGTCCAGAAAAAAGACTGCATTCACTGTGCCCGGTAGGCCTTTGTATCACTTTACAGTGATGCCATTCGGCTTGTGCAAGGTCATCCCCGCTTCCCTTCGTGAATCTGTGTTTGTGTATTTAGACGACTTACTTGTTTGTTTAGTTGATTTTTCGTATCTTTGTTAGAAAAGGTCGCTAGATGTCTGCGTGAGGCAAAGTTGACTATAAATGTCGAAAAAAGTTAATTTTGTTTCACAGAAGTCAGGTACTTGGGCTACGTTGTAGGCAACGGATGCATCCGTACATATGCTAACAAGATCGCCACTGTAAGAGATTTCCCTGAACTAAGGACCCCTAAGCAGCTCAGGAGGTTCTTGGGGATGTCCGGCTGGTACCGCAGGTTCATACGGGATTACGCGACTATTGCAGCGCCGCTGCACGACTGCCTCACAAAGGAAAAGATTAAAAAGTTCACAATGACAGATGACGCGAAGGCAGCTTTTGAGCCCTTAAAGCAAAGCCTCATATCGGCCCAAGTGTTGGCTCACTCGGACTTCAACAAACGTTTTTATATACAGTGCGACGCATCGACTGACGGAGTGGGGGGAGTTCTTTTCCAATTAGACAAGGACGGTAACGAAAGACCAATCGCGTACATATCAGCAAAACTAAAAAAAGCTCAACGTACAACTCGAGCTAACGTGTTTAACTCTGCTCGGAAAACTTTGTATTGCAAAAATGGCAAAGCGACCATAGCCAAGTGTTAAAAATCGCTAAATATGCGAGATAGAGACTCAATAAGCGAATTTATGTTTTATTAATTACAAATAAAGTGAACAAAATTCCAAAACTAACTATTTTATATTGAAAATAAATTTTTCACATTTATACAAAATATAAACATAGATCATATACACGGATAAATGAACGGCAAAAATGGGTGTGTGTGCAAAATGCAATTCCACAATAAGAGGGGAAAGTGGTATAGCATGTGAAGGAGTGTGTGGTAAAGTGTACCATGAGAGCCTACAATGTTCAGGAGTTGATAAATATAACGCAAAAATTATTGGTGAGAAAAACAACATGATACGATTTATGTGTGACGAATGTATAACATACATACAAAACGTCGACCTGGTGCTACAAGATATGCAGATGAGTGTAAAAAAAAATAACTCTATATTAAACGAATACAAGAGCGAATTCGAAGAAACTATGAAAAATAGTCAAAATGAGATAGTCATTATTGGAAGCAGTTGAAACACGGTATACACATCGTGGTGCAATGATGGAAAAATCTCAGAAATTATTTGAAAAAAAAATTGGAGAAGTAAAAAACTTATATGAAATGGTTGAAGAAGTAAAAAACAAAACTGAAACAATCGGCAAAAACAATGAAAAGGTGCATAATGAAATCAAAAAGCTGAACAACAACACTAATGAAATACAAATGTCATATGCAGAAACTATTAAAAACAATATAAAGAAAAAGGCATTGCCAGAGTTAAAAAACGATGTTGCAATAATTGTGAAACCCAAAGTAAAGCAAGCGGTTGAAAAAACGAAAATAGATCTGAACAGCAAAGTTGATCCCAAAAATTTGAATATTTCGAAAATTGTATCAAAAAATAATGGTGTAATGGTGATTCATAGTCAAAATAATGATGAACGCGAAAAAATCAAAGATGCCATTGAAAAAAACATTGGCAAAGAATATGAAATAAAAGTGCCAAATTCAATTCGTCCAAGCTTCTTAATTGCAGGAATGAATTTTAAATACGAAAATAGCGATTTAATAGAATCAATAAAGAAGCAAAATAATAACCTGATCCAAGGCTCATTAAAAGTATTGAAGCAGTTTGAAAGAAATCGAGGCAACATAAAGGTGTATAATGCAATCATCGAAATAGATAAAGAGGATTTTACAAAAATTCTTGCCGCAGAGCGAATAAATATCGGGTGGGATAGATGTAAAGTCTTCGATGCTATTAATGTACTAATGTGCTACAAATGCAAAGGATTTAATCATAAATCAGCCGACTGTAAAAACGAAGAAGCTTGCCACAAATGCCACGGAAAACACAACGATAAAACATGTGAAGAAAATCCAATTAACAAGTGTCTAAATTGCATAAAAGCGAACACAAACTTAAACCTAGCTTTAGACATAAATCATGATACATTTGACAGGCACTGTCAATGCTACAATAATAAACTAGAGATAAAAAAACAAAAATTAGGTTATTAGCAACTAAATGAAGATGCAGAAAACACACAAAAAATATATAATGAAAAATTCAAGAAACACAAAAATAAACTAAAATGTATATATCTTAATACAAATAGTATCACAGCTAACAAAAATGAAGTTGAAATAATGATCGAGGAAGAAAATCCAGATATTGTACTTTGTGCAGAAACACATACTACGGAGGATGTATATGACTCGGAACTGGAGATTGCTGGGTTCAATCATATTAGATGCGACTCGCATAGTCGTCACACCGGTGGTGTCTTAACCTATATTCATAAGCAAATTGATTTCAAAGTTATATTCAATAGGAGCATAGGTAATAATATATGGTGTATTGTGTTGGAAACAATACGATGTATAACTAAGTGGCGGATTTGTGCGTTATATCACTCACCAAACACCAGTGATGCCGAATTTATAAGACATATTAATGAGGTGATGGAAGATTGCTTTTCTGAAAGCGGCAACAATATCGTTATTGGCGACTTTAATATAAATGTCAATACACACACAACATACTCGAGCCAGCTAATTAGGACGTTCGAATCACTAGCAATGTATCAATTAATTAATTTTAATACAAGAATAACAGAAACAACGCAAACGAGAATAGATCTACTCTTTAGTAACAAAACTGAAGTTGAAGTATCGAATTTGGCTTCGCATAAAATATCAGATCATGAAACTATTTCATTCAAACTACCAATTCAAAAGAAGTACCAAATGAGAATTTATGAAAACCGCGTGTGTTGGAATAACTATACAAAAGACCACTTAGTAAATCTCCTTAGAACTTACAATTTAGCTGAACTAAACAACTGCGAAGTTAGCCTAAAAGTCCAAGGAATAAACAGTATCCTCAATGACGTAATGGCCACTTTAACATATAAAAAACGAGTTCAAGTTAAATTGATTAATAAATGGTACGACCATGAACTAACAGAATTGAATAAGCTGAAATATGAACAATTTAAAATAGCAGAGAGAACCAATAATTGGGATAACTATATTATAATAAAACGATATTACAAAAAAGCAGTTAAAATAAAAAAGAAAACATTTATGGAAAAAAAAATCTCAAGAAATACTAATAACCAAAAGTTAATGTGGAAATGTCTAAAAGACGCCATAAATCTGAGTAGTGAGGTAGCACAAATTCAAAAAATTTCTGTAAATGGTGCTCTTATTGAAGATGATTATGAAATAGCAACTGAATTAAACCGTTACTTTAGTGAGAGCATAATCAGAATCCGAGATAGCATTGAAATCTTCGAAGCAGGTGGAAATCAAATGGAGATAAACAGAAGCTTGTTTAAACTGAAAGAAATAGATGTTGAAGAACTTATGAGAGTTACAACGAAATTAAAAAACAAATACGGAGGAAAAAAATTAGTAACGGAAGGTGTATTAAAAGACAGCATGGAGTACTTAGGCTATACCTACACATGTGTAATTAATGAAAGTTTCCAATTTGGTGTATTTCCAGATTGCTGGAAGACCTCAGTAATTGTACCTGTGGGCAAAGTAAAGGGAACAATTAAACCAGAGGAGATACGACCCATAAATACCTTACCTAGCGATGAGAAAATAATAGAAACTGTAGTTAAGAACCAATTGCTGGATTACTTAAATAAATACGAAATTATTATAAATGAGCAGTCAGGGTTTAGATCAAAACACTCGTGTGAAACTGCACTTAACCTGGTAATTGCAGAATGGAAAGAAAGTAGAACGAAGAAACAATTTACAATTTCAGTTTTCCTCGACCTAAAAAGAGCGTTCGAAACAGTAGACAGAGATATTCTTATAAAAAAACTGTATAATATTGGCATTAGAAATATAGCGCTTAACTGGTTCAAAAGTTACCTTAGTGGAAGAAAACAGAAAACTGTAATAAGAAGTAAGATTTCCCCCGAAGTGGACATTGAAATAGGATTGCCACAGGGATCGGTGCTTGCAGCAATTCTTTTTATAATTTACATAAATGATATTAAAAACTGTATCAAATACTGCAAAATAAGATTATTCGCTGATGATGCACTTTTGACTATAAGCTGTAACACGATTGATGAGGCAGCCTCAAAAATACAGTCGGACCTACAGGTAATATATAAGTGGTTGTGCCAAAATATGCTTAAAATAAACATAGAAAAGACAAAATGGATGATAATGGGGTCTAGAGTGACTCAAGATGATAATGTGTCGCTAAAAATAGCAAATACCCCTATAGAAAGAGTAAACCGAATAAAATATCTGGGAATATTTATGAATTTTGTGACTCAAGATGATAATGTGTCGCTAAAAATAGCAAATACCCCTATAGAAAGAGTAAACCGAATAAAATATCTGGGAATAATTATAGATGACAAATTAAAATTGGATGAACATCTAAAATACATTGAAGGGAAAATTTCCAAAAAAATAGGGTTCATGTTTCGATCATGCAAGCATATTAGTAAGCAATACAAAATACTGGTCTATAGATCCATTATCGAGCCGCATTTCATTTACTGCCCTACAATTCTATTCGCATTAGCTGATTCGCAAATATCCAGGCTACAAATTAAGCAAAACAAAATTATGCGTTTCATATTAAGAAAACGGTATGATACCCCAATTAAAGATTTACTAGACAGCTTAAACTGGCTTAGTGTAAAACAGAACATGACTTACTACACATTGAAGTTTATATACAACATAAAGTTGNGAGATCCGAATTCGATAAAAAAAAGTATATACTACGAAGGAATTAGAGAACATAATGATCTGCCAATTGATATTAAAAACTGCAATAATACCAAAAACTTTAAATAATTGTTGNCTGCAATAATACCAAAAAATTTAAAAAAT